TTGTAGTTTAATTCAGAAAATCCGATTCAATAACATACCCACACATACGAAAATGTGTCCAGAGAAAGTATCAACGACGCACACAGGAGAGAGGATGCGTCGATATACGATTGCTCTCCGTCGTTATGTCCACGAGACACAAATGGAACCGCCTTGGATCATAATCGATCACTCACGAGGCATGCAAATTAGCCACGAACGCGGACTGCCGATTCCCCGGATGTTAATTGGCCGCTCGGTATCGGAACGCTGCTCGGCTGGCTTGGAGTCGGCGTTATCGGCGTAAGGCACTACCACTAAGAGAAAAAAAACTATTATCCAGAAAAATAACCGGTAATAATAATGATATACGAATGATACTTTATATTGCTATAATAATAGTATGCATCATGAGGATAAAATAAGTAACATTTAAAAAAACTTTTTTTTTAAAACACGCTTTTATGAAATGTACTAGTATTGGAAGGACTCCACGACTCCAGGAAGTGGCCCCGAAGCTTGGCCACAACGTAAGGGGACCGTGGAGATTTACAGCCAACGTCAGTTGACCGTGGACAATTCGGCCCAAGCCGAAACATAACATATATAAAAAAAAAGATCGTTTAAAAGTAGTTTTATTTTATTTTTTATTATAGAATATAGTATTGTCATCAGTATGACATAAGTATACCAAGTTTGCAGTCGATACCACATTGGGAAGTGGGTTAAAATTGAGTTACAAGATTTGAGGATACAACAACAACAACAGACAGAGTGAGTTACATGAAAACGGCGAATAATGCGACAGAGATGGATGTGGCGTGCCAAGATAATTCCGCACAGTTACACTTGAAATGTATCAATCGGTATACATTTTGGAATAATGCTTAACAGAGACAACACGTCTGCTAACACGAGACGCAACTAGCTGGAGACAGCACCAAGGAGGCGGAACTAACGAGACAACAACAACAACAACAGCAACCACCACCACCGACAGACTTCCCAATCAACCACGACAATCGATTCTCGAACGTAATCGCAAGCGGAGGAATCGTGGGCAAGTGGCCGCATGCCCCAATCTCATAACACCCCCCCCCCCCCCCCCCCGACTTGGGGATACAGTGGAACCCTGTGTGAGCTTATCTCCAAAGGGGGGGGGGTTCATACAACAACTACGGATCACATGCACGCTTCTCCTCAGAACACCTCCAAGCCCATTAGGACTGACAATCATTAATGCTTGGGAGCGAGCGCGATTATTTATCACTTGGGAAGTGGGCGAAGGGGAATCAATAGTTAACTTTTTGGTGGCGCCTATTGATGTTATCTCGTCTGAGAGGGCTAATGCATAAACAGCTTTAGCGGAGGCCCTCCCAGCGCGGATGAAAGGGGCAGGTTCACGCGCTCCTCTCGTTTCCAAATCAGCGCCCAGAGTTACCGGCGGCGTGATCCGTTTATAGACAACCCACTCGAATGACAGCGGGGAGATATGAGGCCATCGCTCCTCCCGCAATTTAAACGAAGAGTAACTTCCCCCTCCCTCCCCCCCTACCATGTTACCAGGTAAGCACCTACTGAGCTGGGGGTGTTCTTTTTTAAGAAGCGGCCTGGCCACAAATGAGAGCTCTAGGAAGTTGGCTTACCGCGTGGAAATGCACAACGGGCAAATTCTCTAAACGCGCATTGATTGTAAACGTGGAGGGAAAACCGGAGACATCTACGCGAGAGAGACACCGCAAACTAAAAAATATACAGCAGGTGTCGGGATCGAACTCACGACCTCCTGCATGCCAGGCGAGGTAGTTAACATCTCTTCCGCCGCGGTGGGCTTCATTACAAAGAGAGAACAAGATTTAGTTGCGACGCTGGGTTGTAGCAGTGGCGCGCACAAAACACAGCAACAACAACAAGAACTGAACACATTCATCAATTAATGGCATAGAATTTGAACAAAAAATATGTCGCAGGTGACATTTCGTGCGATGGCCCTTTCACCACAGCAGAGACGACTATTGTAGAGAAAGCAACGGTCCACGTGATTCCCAACAATCTCAACTCACTTATTAAATATGTAACACTCTTCTCCGCGCTCTACAGTATTTTTGAAGTAAGATGAACGTTAAAAATCAGTGGGGTATCTATTCAAGTGGCATCCTGTGACAGCCCGCAAACTCCGATTAGCCCGCACCTCCGATGAGCACGGTTGGCTACGTACGGTGCGAAAGAAGTTCAACATACAGTACATACAGTCGGCTAGGGATGGGGGACGCTGGCTAACGAGTCTCTGTGTAGCCCAGGACTCTTATCTCCTAATCCTCTAATCAAGGGCCCCATCGAAATTCGCCCAATTTACCTTTTTTTAACGGTCTGTGTGTTTTACCCTTCTTCCCGTGAAGGACGCTACTGGGCAGTTGGAGGCAGTCGCCCTCCCAACAACGACAACAACAGTGGAGGGCCGAAGCTCGATGGCTCACAACAACGAGTGGAGAGCCGGGTGGATAAAACGCAGTCATGTGGCACAGTAGGGAAGCACAGGTGGTGCATCTGTCGGTCATCTCAGCCAGTCAACCCATGGCACCTGGGTCTGTTCCCGTGATCTCCTGCCAGCAGCGACCCTTCCACACTTTACGTGGCCTCAAGGTGTACCTAGCCTGGCACAAACGACGCCGTGGTGATGTCACAGCCACTTCGCAGCGAACGGCAATTGTTTTTTGTTGCTTATTATTCTGCTTAAAAAAACCAGGACGAGTCACACTAGTCACACATTAAACACATTACGCGTGCTTACGCATTGTGGTGATTCTCAACTAAACTATTTAAAACTAAACTATTGTTATTTTACCAGATAAGGCCCACTGCGCTGTGTAGCTCTCTTTTAGAAGTGACCAGACATGATCGCTCAATGAAGTGGCTTATCGGGTGGAAATTTGTCGCGGAGGAAAAATAGACAAATCACTTAAAATATATATGCACAAATTAAACTAAACTATTTTTTTTATTTAACCAGGTAAGGCCCACTGAGCTATTCGTTTATTTTTCAGAAGCGACCTGGCCACAAATGACAGCTAAAGTGGTTTATCATGTGGATATTTACAGAAGCCAAATACTCTAAACGCATGCTTATGAATGTGGAGGGAAAACACGGAGGACCCGAAGAAAAATCCACGCGACCACGGGGAGAACATGCAAACTCCAAATATAGAAGCGTCAGGGTCGAGATCGAACCCACGATCTTCTGTGGACCAGATAGTGACAATTATCTGATCCGGTCCTGGGCCTCCCATGTGGTCAACTCACCCTCGAATGAGTACCTGGTGCTGTGTAAACGACGTCACTAGGGAGACAAAGGCGGCCGTGCGTGGTTCTGATCATCCATCCCCTCGTGGCCCGCCGTTCCTCCCTTCATATGTGCTCGCTAACAGCTCTTGCCCAAACAGTCTGTTGAAGGCTATAGGGAGGGGATATTTGGCTTTGAGCATGCTTGTGCAAATGAATGCATAAATAAATAATAAAAAGGCTCCAGTTAGCTCATTCATTCTACATATCTGTGCTTTACAAATCGATGTGTTGACAAATGATTGGGCAAGTATTCATCGTATTGCGCGATGGAGATCACGTGGCGTATCGCGAAACATTTTGCAATCGTTCCGTGTCTCCGTGTGGTTTGTTTTTGTTACCTGCTGCCGTTCGTTCGTCAGACAGTCACAAGGGTTGAGTTTGCTTGGAACCAGAATGCCAATCATTAAACAGAACACAGCGCTGATATCCAACACAACCCGATTGTTTAAACGCGGCCTGCTGTTGTAGTGAATACTGTACAACCACGTGTCGTTGTAATTGGCATGCATTCAATTCACTAACCCGTTGGGTTCCCTGCGATTCAATAATAATCCACATAGCACGCGCTGGGAACGAGCTGATTCCATCGCTCCATCTCGTGAGTGGAGGCCGTGCCTTGATCGCCTTCCATTCCTCCTCGGCTTCCGCTCCCGTCGTCATTCCGGCCTGCCCAAATAATTTGTTTATTATACACGCAGGTTTCTGCTCAGCACGTTTAAATCGTGACTCACTCATCGCATTGTCTCCGTTTGTAACTTTGTTATTTTACTTTTGCCTTTGGGGTTTTTTTTTGGCATTGTCATCGAGGATTACTGGCTCCGCTAATGCTGTTTAATTAAACGAAAGCCGTAATAAACATCCAACAGACACCACTTGTTACGCTATTGTTCCGACGTCTGTATTGCTCCCCCCACTTTCACCAACCCGCATTGACGACCAGCGTGGTGAAGTATGGTCAAATCACCATCAACGCACACGACACGCGCGGCGCGGGCAGGCCCTCGTCCAGCATTGGGGTGACTCCAGGACCGTACAATTTGGACATCTTCATCATGCCCATTGAACACGGGCCCTCTCTATTCATTGCGGGAATCAACTACCCCATAGAGTCAGGAGTGTAAGACTGTATCTCCCGACTATGCCACGAATTGGGCATGTATGTACATATTTGTTGAACTTCTTTCGCACGGTACGCAGCTGATCGGAGGTGCTGGACCATACTGCAGACATAAACATACGTGAGCCGATGGCTGAAGTATGTTCTCAGCTTGTCGTGTAGAATGCCCTATTATAGGATAAAATATCCTATAGGCTGAACACGAAATGTGAACATTCACATTGTCTAAATCACTTAACACAAGAATAATAACAAATGCGGAGCTTATTGGGTCTCTCGTGGAGATATTCCCCGTGCCCCCCACCACTGCCCCAAGCCCGTGGGTCCCTAAACCCCTCCACCCCCACCCGCCCCCTCCGCCCGCTAATCAATGTAATGATTGTTCACACAACTACACACGTACGCACACGGCGCCTACGTCACCGATTTGTTTCAATTCACAACAGTTCATAATAATTTACAGCCCTTATTAAATCCACTGCTGGATGAGGGCCCTTCCGAAGCCGTGCGGGGTTCCGTGACCGTACTTCACCACACTGGGCAGTGCGGGTTCTTTTTGGTGCAAAGTGTGGGGGTTGGGGAGGGGGTGTTCAGATATCAGGGCCGTGGTGGTCGGGAGTCGAACTCGTGGTCTCGAGCTCGTTGCGCGTGCGGTGCGCGAATCGCCAGCGCCACCGTGACACCCCCACGGTGCATTACAAGCGCAGACAACAACCGTGCGTGCAACATCGGTCCAGAGCGCGCATGGCCATCGATAGCGGCCGCACATCTAAAGGCTGTACAACACACAGTGGGGCAGTTGATTCGTTCTGGCACCCTCGAGACGTTGATGGGCAAGTGCTGCATACTCTATGTGTGTACTCTACCTCCATTTGAACGTACTCGATCTCATCTGTACACGTGGAGTAGTTGCGCAGCGGTTAGCGCACTGTGCCGGTGTGAAGCCGATCAGCTGAGTTCGCTTCCCGTGCGCGGTGAAAGGTCAGTGGCGAGTGAGATCTCTGAAACCGATTCTGGGCATCCGCTTCACCAAACTCACACCAGCCATCGTGGCCTGCTTCCGTGTGGCTGATGTAGCTGCAGGGCAATAGCGACAATGTCACATTCAGGTGGTCAAGCCCACATAACCGCGTCACGCGCAAGCGAAGTTGTATCGCTGTGATGTCTCCTTCGTATTTGTGGATCGGGGCATTGCGTCGTTATACGTTGTACGGTCTGTTCTGGATGATCAGTCGCACACGACTGGAGAGTTGTTTTTTTTAATATTAATTTTCCATTTGTGCAGTGGATACGATTTAGGGTGGACCATGAGCTTCCTGAAAGATCAAACCAGCGTGGTGAGGTATGGTCAAACTAAATCCCCCCAGGAACCGCACGGCGTGGGTAGGGCCTCACTTATCAGTTGACTGACTCATCATGGCTGTACCCTACACACGACGGGTGTATTTATCCAGGAAGCCACACTGAGTGTATGTATGTACACACGAGTATATTCATCCAGAAATGCACAATGAGTCGTACGTCTCTTTTAAAGAGGATCCTTGCTACATTGGGTTTTGATTTGTAAGGATATGTTCAGCCAATTAATGGGTGGTTATGATACTACGAGCTTTTTTTGGCCCGTCCAACGACGGATGTATATTGCGGTAAATCTGAAATATTCAATAGAAAAATTGTTCAGCTCATGATTATTAATGAGGGGAGGGTTGCCCCGTGTGGAGTGACGTCACCCGTTAATGGTTATTGGGGAGGGGTGCGGCATGTGGAGTGACGTCACCCATTAGTGGTTATTGGGGAGGGGTGCGGCATGTGGAGTGACGTCACCCGCTAATAGTTATTGGGGAGGGGTGCAGCATTGGAATGACGTCACCCGCTAATGGTTATTGGGGAGGGGTGCGGCATGTGGAGTGACGTCACCCACTAATGGTTATTGGGGAGGAGTGCGGCATGTGGAGTGACGTCACCCGCTAATAGTTATTGGGGAGGGGTGCGGCATGTGGAGTGACGTCACCCGCTAATGGTTATTGGGGAGGGGTGCGGCGTGTGGAGTGACGTCACCCGCTAATGGTTATTGGGGAGGGGTTCGGAGTATGGAGTGACGTCACCCACTAATGGTTATTGGGGAGGGGTGCGGCGTGTGGAGTGCGCGAACTTCTTGTGCGTTAGTGTAAATTTCCATGCGGGCATGAAAATTAATGAAGGGGGGGGGGGGGGGCTCTTTTGCTGTGACGTCACGCACGGATGTAGCACTGTGCTGCGTAGATTTATTTTTTTTACCGTCACTTTCGATTTCGCGTTGTACATGCGGCTAACCCAATGTTTTTTTCCGAAAAAAATCGCTCGGTGCGGTTTTAATTCACTCAACATGCGGGCCATGCGGTCGGACACGGGACGACATTGTGATGCGCGCCCTGTGCGTTACTCGGCAGGTAGCTTGCCTCGTGCGGGTGTCGCTTCGTTGGGCCCTTTTATTTTCTTTTTTTGGAACGCATCTACCACTACCGCATGCAACGGAGGACATATGTACAGCAACAAACGCCGATATCGGGCGTTGTAAGTTAGGGCTTCGAGGCACTCGGGGAGATTAGCAGCGGAGCATTATCAGTGCAGCAAACGGATTCTTGAGTCTTCGGTATGTGGTGAAGTTTTGAGTTGAGTGTGTCCCCAACTCGTTGGAGGTGGTTGGGGTTTCTCGTGTGACTGCGGTTTCCTCTCACGCCGAGTGAAACGCTCATTAATGTGGAGGTGACAAAACATCCCAGTGGAGCAGCGCCATCCTGAAAAGGAGTCTTGAGACTCAATGAGGCGTCCCGTGGTAAATAAAGGACATTATTATTATTGTCAATTTTTAATGTTTACTCGACACTGCCAGGCCGTTTAAATGCAGCACGCAGCTGATCCAACAGTCGCCTAAGCAATGCAGCTGAAGGCGAACAAAACACAGGGCATGCTGCAGCTATGGGCCATACATACACACACACAAAGACAGATCCCCGTATAGCCGAAATGCACTGTTGAGGCAAGTGCTGTCAGCGAGCACCTGTGACGGCCCAAGACGAGTTTATTTATCCACAGATCGGGGCAACCGCCGTGGCGAAATGGTGACGAGCGCACTGAACTAGCAATGCAGGGGGCGCCGGTTGCGATTCGATTTCCCGGCGCGGCAGTGAAAACAACGGGCAAGTTTATGATTTAAATCCCCCGCCTCTGCCCACCCACTCGGCGGTCAGGTCGGTGGGTCTCAAAGTGCGGCCCCCGGTTAGCCACAGGGTGGCTGGCCACCGTCTTTCAGGTGGTTGGCTGGGCCGTGATGCAAATGCAGGTTGATCAAGACAGTGTTGTCGGACATGAATTCATATTTTACTTGTGATATTTAAACTAAAAGTAAAGTTGATAATGTATCCTAACCCTAAGATCTCAATTCTCCCCCCACCCCGCCCCTCCTAAAACAACACCTTATACCTGTGGTGCGCTGGTGAGTTTTAACGCCAAATGTATTATATCTTTACGCGATCTAACTCCCCCAAAAATAACTCTATTATGGATACATTTTCTTATGATCCGTAAATATAATTCGATATTCCTGGAATTTAGTGAGAGAAGTAAATGCGTTATTGACGCCGGGGGTGTGCGAGCTGAGTGTGTCCGTGGAAATGTTTGCATCGGATGAGTGTGTCGGCGGGCCCAAACGAGTTCGAGAAACTCTGGGTTAGGTGAGCCACGTTTGGTCGATCGGCAAGCCGCGTCAGGGTGCAAATAAGTGTGGGCACCCCCCACCTCTCCCAGCGTGGACGAGTAGGCCAAGTGCCGTCGTCTAGAAGGCAACAGTGGAGATCATCTCACCATCAGGGGCGTAAATAAGCTTTTGCAGGGCTGCACTTTATACAAGACAAAGATCCCTCCGTGAAGCCTTAATAAACTGTTGGGGCAAGTGCTGTTCACGAGCAAACGAGGGGGTGGATGGGCAGCACCGCACCCGACCGCCTTTGTCTCTCTCGTAGTGATGTTTTTACACCGACGTAGCAGAGGCCCAGGATCGGTACAGATAATCGTCACTGGTGGTGGTGGCCGTGAGGGGGAATCGACCTCGGGCAGCCGCGGTCGCAGCCGCCAGCGTGCTAACCACTGCGCCACCGCTCCCCTCCCCCCTGTAAACACACACGCACACGTGCTATGCGAAGAGGCCACAGAGTGGACAAATGTCTGCCTTCCAGACTCAAAGAGGATGGATGGGGCTATTGAAGACGTTGTCATTGGGATTTGCAAACACAAGCGGTGCGCATGCGGTGTTTATTACGAAGGACACAAAGCCGTTGTGTGCCGATGGATTTAATATTTATTTGGTCAAGCTTTCGCCCAATCGCTTATACTGCGTAATCTCTGTGCAGAGACGACATCAAAGTGCGTGCCGTCTGCCGTTGTCTTGTAGAGTGAGCGGTAAAGATCCCCCCCCCCCCCCCCCCCCCCGTTAAAAGATGTTGCTGAACGTTATCAGTTACACAAGCACAATTTTTATTGGAATTGTCCAAATAAATCGCAACGTGCGGACCTCTCGACGAACTACTGACACTCGGTGAGGCAGGAATTCCTGGATAAACGGAAGACCGCTACTGTTAAAAGGTAATGGAAAATGTGCAACCCTTTGTCAATGCACTGCTGACTTGAATGGATAACCAATGGCGTGTCAGTCACGTTGTTTGTTCGACCATACTTCACCACGCTGGTCAATGACGGGCCAGGAAATTGCTTCCCCATGCATATAGCTTGGTAATGGTTGTTCGCCGTGGCCAGGAGTCCAACTGGGTAGCTGGGTTCGTACCTCGCGGCTTTGCGCAGTGCACGAATCACAGAGCCACCGCTCCACCAACAAATACATTTAATCCGCACAAACATAAATGACGTTTATACATTGTGTCCTGTTCTCGAGGCGGTTAAGGGGTTTTTTTTAGAAGAACTTACAGTTTTAAAACGTGAAGAGACACATTCAGCAAAAAGGCACATCTCAATTCGGTTACGTGCTTGGTGAAATGCACGCCCGTGTCTGCTGATGAGACCCAGAAGGTCGAAACCAGTCCAGAGTTTGTACAGGTTTCTAAATGATATAAAATTATTGAATTCATGGTTATTCTATATAATTATGTATGAATAATAATAATACCCTGTAAATGACCGACTGCGTTGGGTTGGCAAATCCGTGCGCTCTCAACTGCATTTTCCATCTCTTTCCGTGTCAATGAAAGCACGCGAGTACTCGAGGCGCCTTTGATGCTCCCTGGGCTGCAACTCTTGCACAGGCTGAATTTTACGTGGAAAAAGATGCAAGTCCTCTACCCAAGACTCACCACAGCGAAACGTCGTGCGCTCCCCAATTCAGCGGCGGAGCCTCTCATCCTCGTCGAAGATTGGGGGTTCTCATTGACGCTCTCACTTAACTCGCTCAATAGAAGTCGGAGATAGACCGGTTCGAGGTCTGCCGACACAACGCTTTGCATCCACTGTTGGTCCGGGAAATCAATGCCCGAATATGGTGCGGAGTTGGAGCCGTTCTGATCTTAAAATATCTGCGATCGTCTCTCCGTGTTGAGATTATTAAACAATATTTGAACAATGTCAACTATTTTTGGAGGCTGCTGAGGTGTATACCGGTTCATCATAAACTCCCAGGATTCTACTTTATACCTGCTAAAATATATTTTTTGTAACAAAATCATGAACACAAAATACCGCTGTTTCAAATCAGGCAGTTGCTTGTGGCCCACTCTGTACGTGTACACATACATGTACACGTGTGTGTTAGTAGCGCAGTGGTGAATAATACACTGCGCTACGAATCCCACTCCCCGAGTTCTTAGCCACGGCTAATATCACTGGCGATTATTTGGAGGGACCCTGGACCTCCCCCTAGGTTAGTTCAGCATGAAATGAGTACCTGGTGCGGTGTGTGCTTGTCAGCACACGTGGTTCTGGTCACATCAAACCCCTCTGTGTGCCGTTCCGGGCATTTCATAGGTGCTTGGAAACATCACTTGCCCCATAGCGGTGTGTAACTTCCACATGGTGATCTGTATGTGTGTACTTAGTATCCGGTGCAGACTTGGGACTTGGGAAAGGGCCTTCATCCAGCAGTGGATATATCATGACTAATGATGATGTCGACGTGGTTGTTACAAACCCCAGCTGTGGCTCCCCCCGCTGAGCACACATTAAATGAAATTAAACTATTACAATGTTTTATTTAGCCAGGTAAGGCCCACTGAGCTATACAGCTCCTTTTCAGAAGCAACCTGGCCACAAATTATAGCTCAACGAAGTGGCTTATCACGTGGAAATGTATAGCAGCCAAATACTCTAAACGCGTGATGTTTATAAATGTGGAGGCACAAACCAGAGGTCCCGGAGAAAAGTCCACGCGCCCGCTGTGAGAGAGAGACACGCAAACTCCAAATATACAACAGGCGTCAGTTTCGGAATCGAACCCACCACCTCCTGTATACCAGGCGAGGTAGTTCACATCTCCTAGCCACCGCGTCGCACACATTAAGGCGCGGTGAGAGAGGCACGCGATCAATTTGGCCGCTCAAATATTTGTCGCAATTGATTGGAGGCCAGGCGAGCTGGCTACACGTCCAGTCTACGCGCGTCGTCTGCCTAGCCCTGACCGCTGCCTTTATTCATGGCCCTTGGCTCCAGGCCGATTGTCCGATAAGCGGCGGAGAGAAGTGGTCACTCTCACTCAGTGTCTATATATCCCCCACTCCGTGCCTTGCCCACCCCGCTCCACTCACCCACTCAACCCCTCCACCCACCCCACGCCCTCCACACCTCGTGTCACGCAGCACATGCGGGGAAACTCATGAAAAATGAAGCTGCTGTTGCTTGCTGCGTAGATCAGCTCGCGTTGAGCAGCTAGACCAGGGGTCGGCAATCTGCGGCTCATCAAGGACTGATTGGTGACATTATTTATTAAGGACCGTCTCGTATTCACATGCATTGCGGCACTTGAAATATTTTTTGTTTGTTACCAAATTCGAAAAAAATGTCTCTGCTTGTTGTTTTGGTTGCCGACCCCTGAGCTAGACAAATCATTTGTTGCACCTCGAGGCCGTGAGAGATGGTGACGGAGGTCTTGATCGCTCGTATAGCGGTGGATAGATCAAATAAATAAATCCATCAATGTTTAATTGTTACACGGAAAGTCTAATTTAGACAGTTACCCGGCTTGTTTACAAGGAAGACCCGTGATGCTTCACAATGCATTGCTGATCTCGTCAAGGAGCACAAACCATCACGCAGACTCCGGTCAGACTCGCAGCGGCGGCTTGTGGCTGGCCGTCGAACAAAGACGGTCACCGCATCGCGGCGCTTTCAGATGCGCTTCTGCGGCCGTCTGGAACGCTCTTCCTTCCGATTCTCAGGAGCGATGCACTTTTAAATCTATATTGAACATTTTTTTAATGTAGAACTGCTTTTTGTGTTCAGTTTGTTGCCCCCCCCCCGCACCTCCGATTGGCACGGTTGGCGATGTACGGTGCGAAAGAAGTTCAACAAACATCAGCACCAGAACAAGAACAACGACATCGTCGTGATGCGTACGGAGGAACAGGCAACAACGGAACATGGCTGATGATGATGATACCACGTGTATTGTAATGAAGCGATACAGGACCAACGCTGCCTTTGTCAGGGCGCAGGGTTTAAGAACACGATTCAAAAGAGGCGAATTCACCGTGGCTGCTCCCGACTGTACCCTGCTCCAATATTTGTACTCGCGAGGGGAGGGTGCCTCTGATAAGTGACGCCTAAAGACCAGGCGCGCACCAACCCCGACAAGGGGGTCACCAGCAGCAGCAAAGACAAAGATCCCCCGTGTAGCCTTAACAAATTTTTGTCGCAAGTGCTGTTAGCGAGCACCTATGAAGGCCGGCACAGTACACGAGGGAGTAGGCTGGCCAGCACCACGCCCGACCGCTTTTGTCTCCCCAGTGGCGATGTTTACACACTGCTACACCAGGTACTCATTTGACTAAGAGGAGGCCCAGGGCCAGTTCAGATAATTGTCACTGGTGTTGGACAATAGCGGGAATCGAACTCGGGTCGCCGGATTCGTAGCGCAGCGCGCTAAACGCTACACTACCGCTCCGCACACGTAACACAAACAACAACAATAACAAATCAAACACATTCTCCAACGATAACGCTGCGTGGCCTTAAGTGGGACATATATAAATATACGCGTACACATTCCACTCTGTCCTTGCGTACGATGGAAGCAACATGGTTCAGGAGCTGAATGGCAATGTTGATGTCCGCTAGCGACGACGAGAGGGCTTCAGGCGAGAGTTGGCGCAGTTAGGCTGCTCCTCCTCTGTCGACCTTAGGGGGAGGCCCAGGACCGGTTCAGAAATTCGTCTCAGATGTTGGCCGTGAGCAGGATTCGAACTCGGGTGGCCGGGTTCGTAGGGCAGCGGGATAGCCGTTGCATTGCCGCATCCCCACACCACCAACCAACCACCATCACCATGAGTCACAATTGCGCATTCGCTCTCACACTGAAGAACGAACGTTAAAAAAAATAACTCGACACATTCGTCATTGACGCTGCCTAAAGATACCAAGGCATGTGTAATACAATATAGAATTACTTGTCTTTCAAAGCACAATTACATGGCATATGACAAGGGGCATTGTCCGAAACGTCGCCTGTTACATATATTTTTTTAATTTTCATTTTAAGACCACACAGCATGAGGCATGGTCACAATAACTTGCACGAAACGAAAGTGGGATTCCTCATACAGCAGTGGATTGGATAAGGGCTGTACGTGTGCATTCGGATGCAATTCATCATCTTGAAGAGCAGCAGCGAAGTTGTTACCAATTGTCTTTGGTTCTATTCGGTAAAGTCACGTAGGTAAAAAAATAAAACAACAATCACGACGTTTCGGCCACAACACAAGTAGCCTTCTTCAGGTGAAGGAACAGAACTGTCGGGACGACAGAGCTTCAATGAACGCTGCTAAGATTCGTAGCGTCTTTTAAGCTGGGTGAGAGAAGACGCTACGAATCTTAGCAGGGTTCATTGAAGCTCTGTCGTCCCGACAGTTCTGTTCCTTCGCCTGAAGAAGGCTACTTGTGTTGTGGCCGAAACGTCGTGATTTTTGTTGTTTTATTTGTTACCTACGTGACTTTACCGAATATAACCAAAGAGTATGGATCCTTGCAGTCACGAAAGCTTCAAATCTAGAAGTGTTACCAATTGTTGGCTGAAGGCCTCTCGATGCTGTTACCATCCACATTTACCCCCGACAGACTGTTTGGACAAGTGCTCCTGGCAACATACACAGACAAAGAGCCCCTGTACTGTATCGTCTGCATAGACTGCTGGGACAAGAGCCGTTAATGAGCACCAATTAAAGCGGACACGGCGCAAGAGGGAGCCGGTGTGACGAACGCCACGCATGGCCGCCTTTGTCTCCCCAGTGCTGATCTTTACTCACCAAGTACAGTACTCGTTTAAGACTGAGTCCACCTAGAAGAGGTCCATGACAGGTCGACTGCGACAGGTCGAAAGAGGGCGTCGCGGTGGCTAGGAGATGTTAACGACCTCGCCTGGTATGCAGGAGGTCGTGGGTTCGATCCCGACCCTGATGCCTGCTGCTGCTGTAGATTTTAAGTTTGCGTATTTTCCCCGTGGATTTTTTTTCTCCGTTTCCCCCTCCACATTTAGAATGGACACGCGTTTCGAGTTTTTTGCTGCTCTACATTTCCATACCGTTATCCACTTCGTTGAGCTATCTATCATTTGTGGTTGATAAAAAAATAGCTACACGGGGGGCGTCCATAAATGACGTCACGCACCTAGAGGGGGGGGTCAGACATTTGTGACGATGTGTGACGAGGGGGGGGGGGGTGAGAAATGTGACGTCACATCAAAATGCGCAACTTTAAATAAATAGCGACAACACGTTCTACTTAATTAATTAGACTTTTTAATAAATGTTTTCTCCTACAACATCAGAGTGCAGCACCACATTAAATACGCAACTACAATGACAATAGTTTAAAGCGATTTGAAGCATGTTTTATTTTAAAAATGGAAATATGGTTTTGGGGGGGGGGGGGGCAGAGCTTTGTGACGTCATATTTGAGGGGGGGTCTGACTTTTTGTGACGCCGTGTGACGAGGGGAGGCGGTCAAAAAGAGTCCCAAATCGCGTGACGTCATTTATGGACGGCCCCATAGATCAGTGGGCCTTATCTGGAAAAATAAAAAAAGTATAAATATTTTCATCTCAGGTGATAGGAGGGGGGTGATATGTCACTGACTATGTCACCATACAGAGATATTTATTTGACGATTCACCGCAGCTGCACGTGAGTCGAAGACTTTAAATCCACGAAGCATTCGTTAAAGAACAGAACGAAAGACGGGACACTGGAGGGCGCTGTTTCACTTGCGGCGAGGGCCAAGCCACCCATGCCCCATGCTCGCTCGCTCCGTAATTATCAAACCACTCGAATGGATTTTCAGTGCACGGGTGCGGCTTTACAATCAATCCACTGCTGGATGAAGGCCTCCCGCCACGACGCCTTTGCGGAACGCGACGTGCCGTTCTTTCGCGTGGCCAATGAAGGGCAAAGTTGTTCGTGATTTCGGTTGCACGTGTTTTTTTTTTTATACGCGGGGCAGTGCGAAGCCAACATGGCACGTCGAGCCAACAACGTCGGTTCCAACCGCATGTCCAACGTTAGTGCGTTTACTGGGGTCGCATACGGTCCGTGGTTGGTTGTTTGTAGCTGCAGTCACACACAGGAGAATCTTTCATTTTACACTTGTGCATCCCATTTGTGGGGGGGGGGGGGGGAGTAGGCGAGTGGGAGGTTATTTTGCCATACTTCACCAGGCTGGCTACACAGTACTGCGTCCACTTTTGTAAGTGACGACGTTCCCTTCTTTAATCATCATTAACGTCACAACTCTTTCAACGACAACAAAAGTCCCCGACATTGTCGAGTTGTCAACAATTCAACTTTGTATAAAATAAAGGAAGGAATAAAACACAAACAAATATAGCATGCGCGTGTCTTCGATGTCGTTATGCAACATGCGATTGTCCTGGGAAACACAGATTCGCGTTATCACCCCCCACCTACCCCTCCCTCACCCCCGTTACAGACAGAAAGAGGGAGCTCAGATCATGACAACGCTTCCAACCTTGCTTTAGAAAGCGGTAAACAAAGAAAAGAGCCCATCAATTAGGATTCAC